GTGACTCTTGCTCCTAGAAAAGTGAGGTGCAGCCTGGCAGAAGGACAGTTGAGGTGGAGAGGGAAGTTATGATATAAATACACTACAGTCATCAGAGAAAAACAGGCATTATGGACAGAATCCTCTGAATCCATTGGTGAATTTGCATCAGATTTCCAAGTGGCATTAAAGAACTGAAAGATGCCTTTGCACAATACAGAAGAGTTTACAGCCTACAATTCTGTTATGAAAAAAACTTCTGTTCTTTACAAAATGGCCATGTTCTACCTGGTATTAATACATGACTTAATAGTGTGAAATAAAAAGAATCATTATGATTATATCTATGAATAATTAATAAAGACAATTTTAGAGACTTAAGATAGGAGAAGCATTGATGTGTTCAAGCCTTCCTTCTAAAAACTAATTTTGGTGTTTGCTTGGACACACTGAATTTTTCATCACATTTACAGCAGAGAGAGTAAGAGGTTAATCTGGAAGGACTGGAAAAACTTGGTGTCCCACTGGCAGCCTGAATAGTCAATGTTAGGATAAACTATTAATTATGAGTAGCAGCAGTTCTTGGAGAGTTAATTTTATTTATAGTGTTTATATGAGCTATATAAAAATCCCAATGCCTTTTTTTTGTGTTAGTAGTGACAATCAACATGTTCTGTTCTCTTTATCGTCTTCTAGGAGTTTATATTACCTTTAATATACCTGTTGTTCTCCACATAGAATACATATTTCAGACAAAATCATCCCAACTTTCTGATCTTCCTATTTATATTGAGATGCCTCTGATTTTAGGTGGCTTTATGTTCATTACCTTTTGACATAATAGTAAAACTGTTCTTATATGTCCTTCTTGTGAACTGTGAAACAGCTAAAACATACCCAGATATCCAGAGGGATGGATTTTTAGTTTTGGTTTGTCAAAGGTAATGACTGGAGTTGATTATTGTGCATATCCAGATTTTCCCAAACTTTCATATTTTGGGAAGCTTGAACAAAATGCCAGTGTTTTAGTCGGGTAAAAAAAAAACCCAAACCCAAACTTGGGCAAATTTGGTTTTTCAAATCTATTCAAATTGTGCATGTGAAAATACACAAAACAAAAACTATTTGAACTGCCATCATTTGGTGTAAATCATCAGACTTTTTAGTGAAAGGTCATGGCTAGGCTTCACGAAGGAAGATTTGGGATTTAGTGAAAGATATTTTAGAAAAAAACTCCTTTGTATCAGTCAGTTGTATCACATCCTGATCTGGATCATCAACTCTGGGACACTGTTTTTGCTGTAACACAATGGGAAGCTTTGGTGAATCCAGGCTAAATGGACTAAACAAATACCCATCCCCTGACGTAGGTGTAGCTGGAAGCAATGTGAATATACCTCTGAAGATTTAGACAGCTCAGCAAGGCAGCTCAGTGAGAAGAACGAGTGTGGCTGGATGAGTGGGAGTCAGGTTTGTTTTGTTTTATTGCAGAGCTGCTTGTTTCGATTCCTGTGCTACCTCCCAAGTTGTGCCAGTCTGACTGCTTGCGTCATTCAGAGAAGAATAACTAGGGATTGATTTCAGTTTTAAAATAACCCATTTTTCCCCTGATGCTTCTCAAAAAAAGTTTGTCAAACTGCAGCCTAAAGGATTCTATTGGCCTGGTAAGAAAGGCGGGACTCGGCGCGCCTGTGCAGCCCAACAACCTAGCATAGAGGAAGCTGGCAGCGAGCATTGCCATGGGAGGACAAGTTCTTTTTAACACATTTTGTGCTGCAAAGATGGACTTGGATTTGTGAGCAATGGGGCTGCTGCAGGGGTGTTCTCCCTGCGACCATTGAGAGAGAACTCATGTACGCTCGTTATAAATAAATCTGATTACATGCAATGAAATACCTGCCGCTTGTCATCCATTCTTCTCCGTAGAGGGGACAGTTCCCCAAACGCTGACTAGCCATTCCTGATGGAAGGTTTGCCATCACATTGATGGATGCTTAATAATCACCCAGAAACCCTGGTTTTGGGAATGGAGCCATAAGAATATTCTAGCCTTGCCAGTTCATTTGGAAATAAAATACTTGATGAGCATTGAGATGGAATCTGTGGTTTTCCCTGGCCTCAAGAGGCCCACAGACTTTTGGCAGGAGGGTGTTGTGGCAAAGAACATGACAATGAGAACAACATTACTGAACCCGTCCGTTTAAATCTCTACGGTGATTTAACAGCTGGTGTAAACTGAAGTTCTGCAGTGAAAGACCAAAGAGTTCATCGAAGCCATGCTGTGAGGATGGCATAAATATCTCAACAGTTTTCTTGTTTTAGATGACACTGAGGCAAGACCCTTAGTATTGCCATCCTACTGGCTTTTAAATTCCAGATAGTACAAAAGAGGAGAGTTAACTCTTCCATTTTTGTGTACTGTGGCAAACCCTAAATAACAGTGCAAAAGTATTTGCTATTTTAAGAACAACCATGTGTTCCTAATCCTTTCTTAACATCATCTCTGGTTTGCAATCAACATTTTGTGTTATGTATCTAGTCTATAAGAAGGTGCTCTGTAAGAACAAACCTTGTGCTCTTAACTCCACTGCTCATGCATTCTCACTGTAATTTCTGCTCAGTGCTCATACATATAGAACAAGTCACTGAAATCTTTAAACTCTTCCCCAGTCTCTAAAGCATCTCTTTGCCAATGAAAAAAAATTTAAAATAGTTTCTTAACTTCAGAATAGCAAACATATTTCAAGATAAAATAAAAAAGCTTTTTACCTAGTATTGGTGACCACTAGGTCATCCATATAAAAATATAGTAGTGATAGTGGAAGGATCAGATACTGATACCTGGTTTATTTCTGACAAGTATTGCAAAAAAAGGTCTCACCCCTGCAATGCAGAATGCAGCAAGGATGCTCAGGCCACATACTAAAAGAGACAAAAAATTAACCAGATATACCATTTTCAGGATCAAGATTTTCTAGCAGCCCCCAGAAATGGATTCATGCAAGAAAAATTATTTTGTGTGAGACCAAAAGATGCAACACAGTCTGATAAATGAACAATTGTGTTTAATAACAAAATGGCTTTTCAGCCGACAGCTGTTTCACGAGACAATTTAGTCAGAGGCCAGATGGCCAAAGAGACACACAGTGGAAAGTAAATTCTAGGATGACTCCACAGAAGGATAAAACTCATAATTCATATATGTTTGAAATGTCAAAGATTCAATTAATGGAATTAGTATGTAATGCCTAGTGCAGTTTGCCTGTTGGAAGCTGTGCTCAAGCTTTTTCTCCCAGCTCCTCTGCAAGGGGAAGCAGTGGACTCCTGGCTTAGAGCTCTGACTCACACATGGCTAATTGCCTTTCCATCTCTCTCCCTGATAACTGGTTTTGTCTACAATACCAGTCTGTATCACTTACTGCTCTGCACCAACTCATTTTTTTGCTTCTCATTTGGCACTGTGGAGTGATAGGAAGAGAGAAGACCTAAAACAGAAGTAGGTGTGGACTCTTGGGAAATGCAGGAAAGGTGAGGTTTACTCTTTTATGGAAGTTGCATCTAAACTTAGATGGGAGAATGAAATTAGATTTTATACCTAGCAGAAAAGTTTCCAAACGCTGAAGTATATTTTAAAATAAACTATAATGTAGTATTGTCAAGTTTCAGCTCAATTTTTTTTCTATCAAAAACTAGATGACTTAGCATTATTAGTTACCACCACTGCAAGTTAACTTGTCTTTGGAAAACTCCAACTCCATCTTCTGACTGCTCAGGGAAATGCAGTGACTAGTTTGTATTTAGACTTCTTAACTCAGAATCATAGAATGGTTTGGATCAGAAGGGACCTTAAAGATGATTTAATTCACAAAACTTTAAATATTTTCAATATCAAGGCTTTGTATATTTGGTTGAAGCTTTATTGATTTTAGTCATTGCCTTTGCTAGCTGCTACTGATGTTGCTTTCTACTGACAATGCAGCTTTTCTTACAGATTTCTGAGAAAGAATTCAGGACTTTGCTTCCCTTTTAATACCCTTAACATTGTGTTTGAATTCCCACCTGATTCGTGGAAGAAGATTTTGATGATACAATGTCACTTCAAATAGCAATGATTTGTCATTGGTTTTCCAGATAATTTTTTCTCATTTAGTGTCTGTGAACCCTTAATTCTTTCAGGTTTGATACCTGCATTGCCAGTTAGTAAATTTGCCTTTTTTTTTCTCTTTTAACATAAAGCTTTTAATAACTGAGCTTTGGCAAAAGCTAAATTGAGAGCTACAGTCATGCATCCCCCTTGCTCTTTGTATTTGTATTTTAGACCCAGTGTTGCAACCAGATGTTTAGTGCTCTGTACTCACCATAAATGACAACTGATTTTTGTTAATGCAATAAGATGAGAAAATTCATTTATGCTGTCCAATATCATGTTGTGCAATGCACGCATATCCACACAGCTAGAGCAGAAAGCAAATCAGTCATTTATTTGATTGCTGATAGTCAAAACAGTAAGAAATTTATTTTTCCTGAATTTCTTTTCTCAACTTCTGATGAAAAAAATGTTCAAGGCCATGAATAGATCAACCTTCCCACCCATATTAGTCTGATTTGTCATCCTCACACTTAACCCCTTCATTTCCACCTAACTCCTTCATTTCCCAGAACTGCAACAGATTTAAGGGGAGCTTCTCCAGGTCCTAAGTTAAACTGTCGGTCATGCAAGGAGCTGTGTGTGTAGAGAAGCCAATGGAGGTCTGCAGATGACAAAAATCTACTGATGTGCTGCACTCATTGATCGTTTTTCCTTGTTTTCTGAGCCAGTGTTTCACAGAGCAGTGGACTATAGGGAAAAGGGCAAATAATGTCAAGTGTGAGGACAAGGGTGACACAAGGAGGTGGACTGTAGTACTGCACCACACCTGGCATCACAGTCTCACAAACACGTGATAAAATAAAGGGAAAGCCAGAGCCAGTTGCAAATTGCTCCTCGGTATTAATTGCCCAATTTCATGTGTCCCTACTAGGTCTTCTGGAGGATGGGAAGTTGGCTCAGACGGGTGTAACTACAGCATCAGCCCCATCTGGAACGCTGAACACTGAAAAGAGGAATAACTGTGGTTCTCAGTGTGCCAACCCCATGGTCCACAGCATGGGAGCCACGACACAGAGGCAGAATGGCTTCAGAACCACAGAGGTAGGAGTATAATTATGTCCCCCGGGTGCTCAGCACTAGCTTCAACCAGGTCTAACTCACTTTTGTGGCAATCTTCCTTGCTGTGGTGAAACTGTGTAAGAGATAAGAGAAAATGGTGCTGGGCTGCACCACAGCCACAACATGGTTGAGCCAAGCACCTCTGACAGTGCCTGAATGGCCACAGAGTTGATATTTTATTTGCCAATCAGAGTAACACACACATTGTTACAGTAAAAAAGCCCCCACGCTCATTGCTTTCCAACTCAGTCCAGCTGTGGCATGTATTGTGCAAACTGTTTAGATTAATTACTTGAAAGGGAACAGATTTTTCCTTAATTGCTGTTCTGCTTAAACTATGTGAACTGCATAAACCCTGGTTCATTCAAAGGTGGATGTGAAGCCTGAAAAAGTCAATGAGAGTCTTTTCAATAACTTCAGTAAGCTTTGGATCAGATCCTCCCCCCTCCTCTACCTCACTTATATGTCATATATGTTGTAGAAGAGTCATCCAGTGTAACAATAATGTAGGAACACCCAAGAATTTGGGGCTATACCAAAGACCAACTTTCTCCTGTTACACCTGCCTACCTGCCTGCCTCTCCCAGATTTCCACTTGCCCTGTTTGTGTAGCAGCTGCTGAGCTGCTGCAGATTAAAGAAATCCAAAAACTGCTTGGTTTACTGCTTCCTTGGTTTCTCATATGAGAAAGTATTAGGTAAAAATTTAGGAAAGGGAGACCTCCTTGCTTTCTGGGTCATCTGCAGATGTAGCAGATATAGTCCTTTACGTGGTCCTTGGCATTTCTCGGGTGGAATCTCAACTTCTACTTCATGTTGCTGCTTCCCCTACTTTTTCAGGGGAGTCTTCTCCTAACTGAATATCATATAATTTCACATCTAGAGGGAGTGAGACTGTCTGTAAAATTTTGGAAATTACAGATTGTTCAGTCATGGGTGAATGTTTATACCCCTGTGGGAAGGTACATTGAACTGCCTTCAGGTGAGCACAAAGTTTGCTTTGATGTGTTCCCAGAGTGGAATCATAAATAACATATCTTTTGCATCTAGGTTGCCATCCATGCATAGGACGCTCCCTGAATTTGAGTTACCAGTTCTGCTAAATCTGGCAGAGCAGTAGTTAGAGGTGTGATATTGGCTTTCCATCTCCTGCAGACAACAGTGAGCAGCCACTGACCCTTTGTCTTTTTCACCATTCCCCAGGGGATACAAATGCTTTCATTATCTGTACAATGCTGGGTGGATTGGCAGCCCACATAAGCACCATTTCTACCTTTTCTTCCAATTTTTGCTTTATCTCCTTTTCTTCCTGTAACCGTTTCTGCAGCTGCTCAGTTTCCAAAGATAGTAACAATTCAGTTCCTTTCCCGCCTCCTATTTCCTCTCTCAGACCTTGTTTCTCTCTACTGAGGCTCTTCCTACCTAATTTCTCCAATAATTGTCTTTCCCTGTGCTCTGCTGAAGCAAGTAGAATCCTAAAATTATCATTCTCAGTTATAAGCTTGTTTCTTTTGGTTCCCAATCTTTCTTTTATTTCCCTCTCAAAGGCCAATGATGACTTTAATTTCATTTTCTGATTTTGAAGCAGCATATTCTGTATAGGACATTTTTGGGAAGGAAGGGACTCTTTCATTTCCTTTTGTGTGATAAGTGAGTCCCCAATATTGCACAAATAATTGCTTTGTCTTTCTAGAATTTTCAGGCCCATTCCTTGTCTGCCTGGGAAGGAGCACATTTATACTTTTGTAACTGTTTATCCATGGCAGTCTTGCTGACTACACCAATTTTTCTGTCACATAAAAATTTAGGGAAGGGAGACCCCCTTGCTTTCTGCATTGTCTGCTATCCAAGTCCCCATGAGACCTTCACAGATAATATTTCAGAGTGACCAATTTGGCACTGTAAGTCTGGTAAGGTAGCAGAGGCACAGTGTGGTCACAATCGCAATCCCAGATGCACAAATGGCATAAGTTGCACTGTAAGTCTGGGTGAATTCAATAAGACTCCAGATTCACAAATTGTGCAGTTTACTGATTTTGTTGTGACAGAATAAGGTCCACAAATTGCTGTTGCTAAATGCTCTGGTATCAGAAAGTACCTACAATAGTATTACCATGGAAAACTTACCTGACAGGTGTCCCTAAGGGGGAGTAGAGGGTACTGCCTGTTGACCAACCCAGGATACAAAGGTAGAGTCTCCTCTGACCTCCCTCCCCTCTTAAGTCATATTTGTATTGTTTTCTTTGAGGGTGGTGAAAAAAAAAGTTTCAGTTGATGTAATTTCATGATTAGGTGGAGTTTGAGTGACTTTAATCATACATGTAAAGCATGTACAGGTTTTACATCATTAGCATATGTAGGGAATGAAAAGTAATATGCATTTTGAAGGTCATGATGTGTAATTCAGCTTTTGGTCACCATTTAGGTAATTCCTTTGGTTTAGCTTTCATTAGCTGCATTGTTTTAAACAGAGCGTGACTCCAACACCTCTACACCACCCTTTGTTTCATGCCTTTCTCAGGCATGAAACAAGTTCCCTCTGTGTCCTTGCTCTTCAGGCATGCACACAGTTTGTTTCTGGTGAATTACTGCCAAGATGGGCACTCCTCCTCACTGAGCTTTATCTTTTGACGTTTCTCGACAGAAAGTGCCTCAGCACAGCACGTGGTGTAACCATCACACCCTCCCCATATGAGGTGGTCCCATGTCAGGAGTCACATCACTGAGAGAGGCAAAATTAAACCCAAAGAGTCTGAGCAAATGAAAAAGGGAATGTGGATTGAACTTCGCTTTCCATTTGCTAACACACAACACATCAGTACACATATTTTTATTTTATACCTTCATTGTATTACCTCTGTATTGCTGTACTACAAAGATATTCCCTGGTGACATGGATACTACTGTATTTTTTCACAAGATACTGCACCTCCAGATGTGCAGGGACACGTTCCACAGCAGCTTGATATCTAGAGCTATGAGTTTGTTGCAAATGAAAAACACAAACAGCTGTCATAGCCACTAGCCCACAGAGAAAAATTAATTGGTGAGGTTGGATATGGTTGAACAGAACTACATAATTATTAATCCAATTTGAAAAAGACTTGGCTACAATTGAGAATTACGGTGTTTACCCTGCATACTGCTGGAGAAAATGGTTTGCCTAATTTTGTAAGTGATTGGAAAATTACTTCTGCATTGGATTTAGTAGGAAGTACGGGCAAATTACCACAACATATTAACAATGTGAGTGTTGACTGTGGGACTACTCAGTGAAGAGTTCCTGCCCTGAGGCCCTATGACTTTAAAGATTTCCTCCTGCATTTTTTAGCTGAGGTACATTCAGTAACATACATCTGTACAGTTACAGCTCAGTACAAAGAAAATTTGTGATGATAAGTAAGTCATTTACATTATTCTACACATCTAATGCAGATGCATAAGAAAGGACCATAAGTTGTCTTAAACTTCTTGTACTCAAAATAGAAATATATATTTCTTCAGAGAAAGTATAGTATCTAATTTAGGCTCCATGGTTTGTCACCATGAATCTCTGTTTCTCCACTGAAGGAAGCCTAGGAGGAGCAAGTTTCCAATTGGAACACTTTAAGTTTAGGTGCCTAGAGATGAGAATGTGACTACCACCCCCCAATTCAAAATGTGCCTATTTTATTTATCTGAACATTCACATTGACTACAATTTTTCTTTTACCTCTACATGCTCTATAATACAATGCAATGCAGCACACAGTGCTCTCAGAGACTTGGGTTGTGCCATGAGCCTGTGAACAAGTAGGGGGTAAATGGCATTACCTCTCTGTTTCTCACTTTCTCCTGCATCAAGCTCTAAAGCAGCCTCCTGCCTTACCCCTCGGTTTTGTGACAATTTGTGTGTCAAAAGGGAAAGAGTTTGACACAGGCTGCATCTGGTAAACTTTGGATCCTCTCATGATGATAATGTCTGAACAACCTGAAAGTAAAAGATGATGATGATGATGATAAGAGGATGATGATAAGAGGAGTCCTTACGCCAGTCAAGGCAATATAATTGTTGCAGTTTGTGAGGAAAGGACACAACAACCTTCAGGCTCAAACAGAGTTGAAGGTCTGTTTATTCAAAATGGTTCCCCTATTTATAGAGGGAGCAGAGAAGGTTCTGGAAAAAAGGGAGGAGCATGGGACTGACAGGAGTTACATCCAATTAGGGAGACCCAGGAGAGGAGTTACATAACATGGGGACTCTGCACTGCTGCAGATTTTAACCAATAGGAAAATAAGGAATAAACAGGAGGGAGAGAACATTATGGAATTCAATAAAAACATGGGGGTACAACAGATTTCAACATATATTAACAACAATTATTAACTTCTTCTAGTCAAACAGTCTCTGTGTCAGTAATGTTTTATTGGATCAGTTCACAACATGTTTTCTTCCTCTGCAGCCTCAGTCAGGTCATCCTGTAATTGCTGTTTCCACATTCGAAACTTCCCCTCTTCGCAGTAGATATCTTCCACAATAATGGTCAGGCATGCCAAAAGCAAGAGTTTTATCCAGATTATGTCCCTGACTGATAAGCACCTGCTTTGATTTTCATTATATATGTAGTCTTTGGAGAGTCCTTGCATGAACTGTAGCACTGGGGGAGTAAAAACAAAAGAGCAGGTGTATTCAGGCTGCAGAAATGTGAAGTAATATACAGCAGCAAATAAATTCCAAGTGTTGCTCTGCAAATATATATGTACCTTCAACTCTCGTCAGTGGAAGTTTATGAGACATTATTCTAGCTGGCACTCCTGCCATGTAAACAGTGCCTAATTTATCTGACATTCCTTACACTGACAAATAGTTTCATAGACTACTGGAAATGCAATAATCAGACCCACCTAACTCACCCCTGTGTCTCTATCAGCCCAGTTCTGAGTGCACTTTCTGAGTGCTAGACATATCCAGTTTACTGTGCATATAGTGTGTTGCTCATGGCAACAAGCCCTCTGTTTTAGAACAAGCAGCAGTCACAAGCATTGAGGCCATGTTGCTGAGAACATAGCTGTGTTGGGCAGGGCACATCTCCAGGATGAAGGACCACCGCCTCCCTAAGATCTTGCTTTATGGTGAACTTGCCTCCAGCTGCTGCAAGAGAGGAGCCCCGAAGAGAAGATACAAGGACTCCCTGAAACAACATCTCAACCTCAGCCACATTGATCATCATAACTGGTCTACTCTGGCCTGGAGACACATCATCTTCAACGCTGCCGTTTCCTTTGAGAACACACGCAGGATCACTGTCAAGGAAAAAAGACAACGCAGAAAGAATTGTATCCTGCTGAATACACCACCTAAGGAGTCTTTCTGCTGTGCCTTTTGCAATCGGACATGTCTATCTCGTATTGGCCTCGTAAGTCACCAGCGTGCTTGTAACAAACGTGGACAGAGCCTTCCTAAATCTTCGTTCGTGAAGCCCAGCCATGACCATGGCAACAAGCAGATAGACAAGGAGATGGAGAAGAATAAATTTAAATTAGGGATGCACTTGGATGCCTCAGATGGACTGACTTTTTTGAATATTAGAAATTATCTGATGAAGCTCTGAAAGGTATATGTGTTGTGTTTGGGTCTTATACGCAGGCAGAAGTAAATGTTACTTTAAAACTGTATTTTCACTTAAGAAACACAAAATCAATTATAGAAAATTCTATCTCAGGCTAGTGATGCACAGCTCCCAGTGACATCAAAAGGAACCTCTAATTTTCAATTCTGGACTGAAACCAGATTTATTTGCTCTGCTTTTAGAGTACACACATGAAGAGATCATAATTATAGTCAAGAGGGTTGATCCAAAGTCTGCTGTCGTCCACAGCCTGTATAGCAGTTATAAAAACTTGTGTCCCTGCTGAATGAGAAAGTTGCTCTGCATCACAGTTCCGTGTGAAGGATGCTGGAGGCATTCTGTTTATTAAGTAGAACTGTTTTCATAAGTTAGGAGGTAATTGCCAATGACTCTGCTGTCAGTGTGGAATTCACTGTACTGTTTAAATCTCTTACAGAGTAAATGGAACCCACAGAAAATGTCCACAAAAGAAGTTGCCATTAATGTTACAAAAAACATCAGACAAAGTGACAGAAGGAAAACAAAGAATTGTGCCAATTAACAAAGAAAATTGCAGGTGAGGATGGATTTAACAATGCTTCACTACACTTTAAATGTCATCTGTCGCTGAAGATGTGAAGATCTCCAGATGTTCCAGGTTGAATACAGCAGGCAGCTGCTGTTGAGTGCCTTCAGAAGCAGGTCTTGTGGAAACCAGCTACAGACACTGTAGGATCTTCAGACATCATTTATCTAAAGCAGTGGCACTACACAGACATACAACAAAATTCGTGCCATTTCTTTTTCACTAACTTCTGTGTTATCCCTTGGGTATGTCCTATTCTGCATTGCTATTAAGATCAGGCTGGATAATAAGAGGTACAGCTCATCACAATTAAAATCAGGAAATGAACAAATGAATCTGCATTTTTAGTCATAGAGATTTTTGAGTGTGCACATTCAAACCCATGGAGTTCTTTTAAAGCACTCACTTTCAAAAAACTCAAACCCAGACTTCTCAGAAAGTGACACACAGTTGACTTCCACTAAATCTGTTTTCAGCTATATATATTGGTTATGTATAGTCAAGTCATACAGTAACCTTTTTATATATTAAACTTTCAATTACCTAGTTTTAATTTATTGTCTGTATTGACATAATTTTGGTCTTAAAAACAGTAACTTTCATGTTGACCAGCCTTACATGAAGTTCTTAGTCTTAGCTGGCAAGTAGAGCTATGGCTACTTAGTTTTTATATATGGCCCTTTAATTATGTTGAGGCTCAGACTGACTTAGAAAAAGATTGTCATTAACATTTCATGAAAATAACCATAATTCTTAAAGCCATATTGTAATATCAGCTCAAAAAATTAACTTTATTTCAAGATATAATTAATTTGCTCTTCAGAAATTATTTAATTGCATTGTAAGCATCCTGTATCACAGTACTCCACGATTATCATGAATATACATCTAAAAGGAATATAAACATTCATTGTAGTAAAGTCCAGGAATTAATTCAACATATTACTTCTCAATATAGAAATAATAATATATATTCTCAGTGAGTTTGCACGTTTATAAGACAAAAGAGGTAAATTTATTTGCCTCCCCCATAGACATATATATATATATATATATGGGTATCCTTAGAGGACCATTTAGAAGAACTCTTTAAAAGTTGTTCATAACAAATAGATAGCATTGGGAAGAAAATCCATGTATGAATGGTAAAAAGTCCTTTTCATGAGCAAACAGGTATAAATAGAATTCTGGGACTGACCCCCAACTTATTCCATATTAGGATCATTTTAATGGCTTGCTGCTAGGTGTGTGAGTACTTATTACTTTCCATGTAGTACAAGTCTATGCAATTGGAATTGCTTATTAATTATTCTAACAAAAAGGCAAACTGAAATCCAGAACTAGTGCAAGACTTTTGCAGACCATAGCATATTTTTAAAGGATTTACTGGCAGAGAGAGTGCAGTATAAACCTGCATGATACAGGAAAACTACAGAAAGTGAATACTGATGCTGATGCATTAAAGGGTAGAGGGGATTTTATACACTCTCCTCATGTAATACATTACTGTTCTTATTCATTAGGCTGTAATTGAAATTATATTATTTCCCAGGTGGCTTTTTAGTTCTTAATGTGCAAGCTTCCAATGAGCTTAATAAAACTAAAAGTAGGTTCTAGAAATGTGTATTTATGTTTACTTTCCTTTTATTAGAGATAACCACCAGTAGAAACAAGCAATTTGTTTGTAAAATAATATACTAATCTGTGTAATTGGGGTGACAGGATCTAATCTATATTGCCTAAGACAATTTAAAGTCCTAAAAATAGGTTCCTGTCCTGGTTTTAGTGGAATAGGTAAGCTCAAAGAATCATCTGGGGTGACGGGTGGCCGTCTTGGGAATGAAGTCTTATTTACAGGGTCTGTTCTTTGAGTAGCAAATGAAATATCTTCCAAATGTAAAAGGCTCAAATACATAAAATAAAGTAACCATGTTTAAAGACATGGACTTTCAGATAAAGGACCTGCAGGCATTTCTGTCTTCTTATGTGACAGGATTTTTGAAATACAATTTTCTCCCCAAAGACATTATGCCACATAATTTGTTCGAAGTCCCTTGGCTGCACATGAGGATTTCTACAGGTACACTGTAACAACACGCTTTCTGCTGAAATGATTTGCCAAAAGCTGGTGAGTTTTTAGGATTTACCTGAGTTCAGTTTTCAAACAGAAAGGAACTTTGCCATGTTTCCATAATTCCTATACAATGTATATATAGGGTTTTCCTTTGATGTTTGTATACCTGTAAAATACATCTTCTTCCACTATGTGAAAAATGGAATCACTCAAAAGAAAGTAAACATTTCCATTGACTAAAGAAGAGCAAGGATTTCCAGTTACCAATTCATCATTAGGCAAATTAATCTTCTCAAAGACTCAGTGCAATTTTGTCTTGCATTATTCCTTCAACTTCTCCCTTATACTTCCTTAATGTATTTCAGAATTTCAGCATTACTGCAGGACATTGACTGGAAGACACAAAATTTTACTGTGTGACTGAAATGATTTTGTACTGAAAAAATAGGAAAATATAATTATTGTGCAAGCAATATATGAATACTGGGTTAAACATGCATTCTTGTTAGTTAAATGACTGAGATTGCATAAAAAACAGAAAACAGGTATTTTTGATCTTCCTAGTATGTTCATATACATATGTGCATGTCTCTGCATGAGTACATTGTAATGTCTGTAGTGTGTACTTCTGCAGTTCAGGCACATTTTTTTGAGAACCTTTAATTTCTGTTTTAAATTCCGATGGTCAAGTGTGAAATATTTTAATGTATGAACTGAAATCTGTTCTACATGCCTTATGAAAAGAATGAGTTTTATAATTTGTGCACGGAAATGGTATTTGAAAAAAGCAGGCTTAGTTTTATTTGCAAATAATATGTCTAAATTCAAATTAGACTAATGGGAACATTTTTGTACTCTCATTTTAGCTGCATATTATTGAAGATTGACCTTGAACTTGAAAATGAAAATAAACAAAATTTTTAAAGTGTCTGTTTATTACTTCACTCATTTGACATTCCTGTGCTTGTGATTAATTTATCTTCCAGACCTGAGATCAAAGACTGCAAAGGTATAACGAATGGTTCCCACCTCCTCAGGGAATCAGAATATTTCTGTATCTGATGTCCTCATATTGTGACTCATGGACTGTGTGGTCATATCAAAGAAGGTAAAATACATGTATTCCCCATAAGAAATCCGTATATTTGCCAAGGAGGACTTGTGAGGTCAAAATGCAGTTGTACCTCTGTAATTATAGATTGAGAGTTTGTGGTTGCTGTCATAGCTAAAGTGGAAGACACTGGGAATCTGAGACATTTTCTCTAGTAAGATATCATAAGGCAACTATGAGGCAAATAGAATACATAAATAAAAAAATGTTCTTTACTCCTGCCTGAACCGGACAGCACAGGGTAGAAAAGCAGCTACGGTGTTGTTTGACCTGTGCCATAGAAATAAACTCACATCTTTTACACACAGCACTTTTTTTTTTCCAAAATTGCAGTAAATTTACATGATATTTTTCCTTAGTGCCAGAAAGGCTCTTGCTGAAATACCACCCCCATCCTAATTGCCTGTGCCCCGGGTGTTGCCCGACAAGTAGCTTGTTTCTTTGATTCCTGGCCAGGATGCTGACACAGGAACTGGTTTGTTTCCTGTGGAAAAGGAAGAATAGTATCAAAGGAATGGCTTTCAGATGTGCCAGAAGAAAGAGGATCTGGGGACATGAGGAAGCCACAGTCCCTCAGTCAGGCATGTAAGAGCCCATGGGAGCCCTGCAAGTGGGACGATTCCAGGGTCAGACTGTGCCTTAGAAGCAGAACCCTTGTTGGTGCAAGAAGTGACTGGCAGGGGGGGGGGAGGGGGCCTTGTTGCAAGTGAAGCTCCCAAAGCTGAGGTTTAATGGACTTGGTTTCTCTCTGCCTCTGGGAGAGGTGAGGTAGCATTTCTAAAATTAGTGCTTGGGAGGTGCTACATGAGCTACAACAATGTGTACACAGTGAGTCCACAGTAGGTTTTCATTTCACAGTGAGGCAAATATTTTGAAGAACTTGATACACTGCAATGTTTCAAAACTAAACCTTCAGAGTCCTCAGGCCAAGCATCCCCTGTTGCACTGGTGCCTTCCCAGGTGCCTCCTTTCCAGATTGTCTCAGTGAAGCATGTGAAAAAGGTACCAGCAATAAATAAGATGTAGTGGTCTAAGAAGCAGGGATGCCAGATCTCATTCTGTCCTGTTATCACCCTCATGTTTTCAAGTCCTCCAGTCTGATTTTCAGACTTTTTTTCAGGTAGCCTATGCATAATAACCAGAGTTAAAAGCTGTTCTCCTGCCCATCAGTAAACTAATGGCAAAGTTGGATCATTAATATAAGATAAAAAGTTAACTCGTTCACTAGAAAAGACATTTGTTGACATATGCCACTTGAAATAAAATCCAAGTTTATTTGCAACAGCTCCTTGCATAGAAGAACTCAGCAAACACTAAAATCTAGGAAATACTGTAATCTTACTGATAGAAGGGTGTTGATAAGCAAGAAGGAAGAAGGCATAATACAACAGCTTTTCTTTGCTTTCTAGAGGATTCAATATCATTTAAGTCCTGAGTGCAAAAAACTGGGATGCTGCTAAAAATCTCTCCTTTCAAGACTGTTTAAAACAAGTAGTTTTAGGCTGCTGTAGGTACCTGCTTAGGGAAAAAATAAGATTGAGGGAGAAAGAAAGAGAGTGGTGTCACAGGCCAGGACTGAGCCATGCTTCCAGTTGTATTAATTAGCCTTGCTTGCACACTCTTGCATTATAGTCAGTATTACTCAGCTTTAATTTAGTTTCCATTAACCTTTGCAAAACATCCACATGTTTGGATATAGGGAAATATGTCATGGGTATTACTGCATCAACAGAAAGAACAGTTTGCTCACAGCAAAAAAAGTGCTTAAGGAAAGGCACCATATCTAAGTAGCAGCCTATTCTTTATCAGCTGTGAGGAACTGTCAAATACAAAAGGCATGAAAATATTTATAGTCATCTATATCTGATTTTACAAGGAAATTAAACTATTGGGCTTGTTCATGCAAGGCAGATAGAACTTTCCAGGTCACATATAGTAAGTGGCTTAATGTTCAGTTTGCCTGACTAAAGGGCTGAAAGGTGATTTGAACCTAAAATGTTGGGTTCTGTGGCTTGTCCATGTCTTTAAAATAGACCTTCTGCAGTGCTGTGACATTTCCTTTGCCCTCAAAGTAGTCCTCCTGAACAGTTTTTCCACTTCAGACTACTAATATGACATAATTTTTCAGCATGTTATTAGATACATTACTATATTATTGAGAGCATAATTTTACCAATTCAGACATGGACCCTGTGAAGCTACAGTTCATGATCACAGCTGCTGACAAACTCAGGAGCAAAGTTCTCATTAATTCACTGAGCAGCCACAACTCCACCCAAGTAGTATCACCACCTTTGGGAACTGCTGGGATGTAGGGAGTTCAATATTAA